AAAGTAACATCAAGATTTCTATAATTCCGANATTTTNGACAAGGACATNACATAATACCTGTTTCTAGTGTTATATCCTAGTTTGAGGCAAATGACATGAATTGCCTAAGCCCTTCCTTGAACTCTTCTGTAAGTTTGCATGTCTCTTCATCGTATCTAGGTTTGTCCATCCATGAACGAAAATAATTATAAGGATCGGAAGACATTATTGTTGGTATTGTTTNTAGTTTTGGTTTCATTACATGTGAATGGGAGNTGGAGAATATATAGACGAAATTTTCGAGGGATTTCCCAGGGATTTCCGAGGACNTGTAAATTGCAACGGCTCCTCCAACGGATACATTAACGGATACATTAACGGTTATGTTGCCAACAGTCCTGGGAAATTCCTCGGAAATCCCTCAGAAAATTCAAAAAAGTCCGCCGACTTTCCGACGGACGGGGATCCGTCGGAAATTTCAGGAGGATTTCCGAGGGATAAGTTTTCCTCGGAAATTCCTCGAAATTCAGTCGGAATTCCGTCGGAAATTTCCGAGGAAAATTTTTCCGTCGGAAAATCTGTCTGAATAATACCCTCTTTCTTGTAGTGTTATGATCAATGAGGTTATTATTGAGCTAAGGCTTATGAGGGAGTATATATATGACTCCAAACCTAACTTTGGTAAAGGAGAAACTAATTGAAGAGAGGCAATTTTTGTAGGCTCAGAAGAAGAAAAACAGTTTCGTCAAGGTTTGTTCAAGAGAACGTTTGGAGGCTTAAACGTGCTCCGATTTGGCTAAAATTTTTGGGTTAGCTTCGTTACTCAGTGGTCTTGATATTTAATGGTGGAGATTGTATTCAACGGTTAGTTCGTCACAGATCTGGGTTTTAGCGAGGCTGTTCGCTGCTGTTGCGAGTTCAGATTTCAGGCTGTGCTGTCTTGAGTGTTTGGGAAATCCGACGGTGAATTCTTCTTGGATTGAGCTGAAATTTGGCAGAGATATTCCTGACTTGTTTATCTAGGATTGATACGGTGGAGATCTGATTTGGTGACCGGAATCCTAGTGAATTTAGGGTCATTTGGGAGTACTTGTTTCTAGGCTCTTGTATTACTCTCTTGTGGTGTTTCTTGTGTTGGAGATTGCTCTTTGGAGCCTTAGTCTCTGGATATGTTCGTTGGGAACAGAGAAGACGTGGTTGTAACTCAAATTTGATATAGTGGATTTTTTAGTGGACTACGGTCCCGTGGTTTTTACTCCTCATATCGAGGAGGTTTTCCACATAAAATAATTCGTTGTCTCATTTACTTTACTGCTTTGATTTGCTGCTGCCGTATTCTATATTTTTCTCACAGGTTCACATAAGTGTGGAGAAATTTATTTCGCTGCGCCATTGGTGCTTATTGTTTTTCCCCAACAGAGTGGTATCAAAGCTTTCTGGTTTGATAACTTTGGTTATTGGTTGTTTGCTTTTGTGAGCCATGGAAAATATGGGCAGGATGATCAGCTTGGATGGTTCTAATTATCATATTTGGAAAAGTAAGATGGAAGATCTCCTTTATGTGAAGGAGCTTTATGTTCCAGTTTTCGAGGAGAAGAAACCTGAGGATAAAACTGAAGATCAGTGGAAGTTGCTACATCGCCAAATGTGTGGTTTGATGAGACAATGGGTAGATGATAATGTGAGGAATCCTATTGAAAATGAGATTGATGCTCGTTCTTTGTGGTTGAAGCTAGAGCAGTTGTTTGCTCGGAAGACCGGGAATAATAAGATGTACATGATNAAGAAATNGATTGAGCTGAGGTACCAGGAGGGAACTCNGATGGCGGATCACTTGAATGCGTTTCAGGGATTGCTCAATAAACTATCTGATATGGGAATTAAGTTTGAGGATGAGATTCACGGTTTGTGGTTTCTTGGTACATTACCAGATTCTTAGGAGGTGTTCACGATGTCTTTTTGTAACTCCGCGTTGAATGGTGTGATTTCGATGGATTTAGTGAAGAACAGTGTCTTGAATGAGGAAGTGGGGAAGTCTAGTCCTAGTTTCTCGCGTTAAGATGTAATGGTTTCTGACTCAAGGGGGAGGAGTTCATATAGAGAGCCTAGGAATAACAAGAACAGGAGCATGAGCAAATCTAACAAATTTGCTAACTTGGAGTGTCATTATTGTCATAAGAAAGGGCACCTGAAGAAGGATTGTTGGAAGTTGAAAAAGGACAGCAACTTGGAAAGAAGCAAGAAGATGGTGAAGATCGGGTAGAGCTGTCAGTTGGGCTTGCCCGCGACCAATTGGACCTACCCGTTTGGACAATTTTTTTATGGACTATATCTGGTCCAGCCCATATGGTTTGCGGACAAATATGGTCTTGGCTCATCTGGACAGAAGACAAAACTATTTGGACATGGGCTGTCCAACTTATATATTAACTTTTATATTTTGTTATATGATTTACGATTAATTTTTTGCATATTTAGAAATTACTAGTTTCTTTATTCGTAATTAAAAGT